CTCGGGCGGCGGGGACGGATGGAGGGCTGCGAGCGGGTGGGTGAACGCGGTTGTACTACACGGGTGGGCTTTTGCTTTCTTTTTTTCAGTTAAGAAAAGAGAGGAATGGGCGGCTTCGGAGCTGTTCCGGGCAAGCGGAGCCCCGGAGGGCGCCCTGGCGCGCCTGCGGGGAGGACGGGAGCGCAGGCCTCGGGAGGGTGCCGGCTGCTGGGGATGCTCTGGGCGGCCGGAGGGTGCCGGCGGAGTGCCCCCTCCGGGCGGGGAGCGGGAGGAGGAAAGATTGGCTTTCTGCTTCTTACACAGGCTTGCAAGACGACATTGTTCCTTTTAGTTTTTCTCTCTGGGGTTGGCACCAGCTCTTCAGCCGTTCTTGGCCTGTCACCCATTGCTGTCATGGGTACCATGGCGGTCTCTTGCAATGTTTTTTGGCAAGTCTGGCCAATGCAGTGGACTAAGAAGCTTCTTCTATTACACTTTATTGCATACATTGCCCTTCCCCTATTAGGAAGGATCTGAACTTGACTGAGACCTGTGAGACCTACTTCAATAGCGGTTAGTAATGCTGCTGGCATATTACTGAACCAGCCATTACTTGAAAGACAAGCAATTTCTCTCCTATTCCTGTTTGAGTATCTAGTCTTCTGTGTAATTTTCTTTTTTTTTTTTTTTTTTTAAATCCTAAAGCCTTTGACCATGGAGGTTTTGGAGTGCTGGGCCCTGTTCCAGCAAAGTTGCTGAGGCTGTTTACCCTTTAAACGAGTCTGTTTGCTGAGCTGAGGCATGAGAGCTCCATGTTCTGCAAAACTTGTGCTGCAGAAAGGAGGGAAAACTCAGAGTATGGAGATAGGTGAAATCTGGGGATTTTATGTCAGAGGAGGAGATGTATTTCCTGGGAAACTGCGACCTGCTGAGAACCTGGTATTTCTCAGCAGGAAAATGGCTGTAGTGAGATCGCTACTGATGAAGTAAGGTTTAGGTGCTAGGTTAGGTCCAGTACTTGGGGCGTTTGGACAGGTCATCCTTTTTGACACTAGTTGGTGGCTCTTTAGTATCCTACTGTGACCCTCTGCATGTGAGTTAACCAGCCTGCTTTCCTGAAGCCGGAGCAGTACTTCTGAAAATTGTGGTTGGTAGCCAGGGTCATAGGGGGCCCATGTCCTGGAGCGTGCATGCTGGCTCAGGTATGTCACTAATCTGGCGCTGGCAGCATAGCAGGCTGCCAGGACGGCTGGGACAGGCTGGCCTCTGGCTTTTTGCAGGTGCCTGCTGTCTACACGTGAGATCCATAGGAACTAGGCAGGCAGCAGGGTGTACCATGCCCATGGTTGCATTGTGAATGCCTGCCAAAAGCTCTACAGATGTAGCCAGAGTGGGTGGCAGCTGGTCTTTCCCACAAAACATGCATTAGCCAAAAAGCTGACTTCCTGCACAGGCGGTGGTGATCAGCGTTTCTCTGCCAGCCTTTATCAGAAGTCCCTGGGCTAACAAAAGACGTGATGCCTTGTGGGGGCGCACCGTAACACTGGGGAAGGGGAGCTGTGCTTCTACCTGTTTTACAGACCTGGTCAGAAGTTGAGAGTAGAGCTCCAACTCCCTCTTTTTGTCATGCTGGGCAACTTGCTTAATCTCTGAGCTTCTGTTACCCTACCTGTAATGCTTCTCTCCCTGTACGTGGTGAGCTTGGCAGATCAAGAGCACTGTTCAGGCTGTAGCGTTGGTCCATCTTTGTGCGCTGACTAAGGAGAGGGAGCTAGAAGCAGGGAAAGAAATAATGAAAGCTTCCGACTGCAGCAGGTAAAAATGCAGGTAAGGCATTCTCCAGTCTTTTCTCTAATGCTGTTGTGCTCCTTGAAGACATGGGTCTTCACTCAGAAGACTTATCAGGTGAGTCTAGAGAGCGTTGGAGTGAACTTGGGAAATGGATATGTCAGAAGACACCTGCGTTAGGGCTGCATGCACAGCTTCCCTTCTGTGGGGGGAAGGCATACTGAACACTTTCATGTTTTCACTGGCTGATCTCTAGCATAACAATTACCATAGTGGTGGAAGTTGCTTTGCTGTTAAAGTTTTAATACCTGTGTGACGTTACAGAGGCGGGGGCATTAAAGAACTACCCATTTCCTATCGGGAAGGTTATGAGTATGCCAGTCTGGCCTTGAAAGAAAGAGTGATTATTGGGAGGATGTGCATGTGCTCATCTGCTCTGTAGAAGAATACGGAAATAAGACTTTGGATTCTTGAAGGATCTCTTCCTAGAGCCACAGTGTTGTTAATTCATACCCCAGTTACTTCAGGTCACTTGATGTCTCCTGACATGGGTGATGGCTGCCTGCTACTGAGGAAGTAGCAAGGGGACGCACACACACAAAAAAAAACCCCAACAACAGAAAAACCCCAAATGGCTGACTGTCTCCTGAATCACTTATAGCTGTGGTGTTTCCGAACAGCTTCCAAAGGCTGGATGGATACTGCTACATCTGGTAACCTGTAAAAATCCTGAAGCTCTCTAAGACCCTGTGATACTTGGAGTGAGTAGAACAACTGGTTTGTAGTGGTTTACTTGTTCACAGAGTAAAGTATCTGCTGAATGTCAAAGTTTCGCATTCTCAGGCCGCAGCAAAATGGAATCCTGTATCTCATCTCTTGCTGAGTAGTCAGCCCTTGGGGCATCTCTCTCTGATCCACCTCTTACACCTGCCTTTTAGACAGCTTCATTTCTGCTTCAGACAAGACTCGAGTTAATTAGGTACTTGCATACATGATACTCTTTAAATATCTACATTAGTGCTGATCATATACTGTAAACAGCCTTAGAAACTGTAGCTCCTAACATATCTATGGAATGAGTTCAGCTCAGTCTGGCTGGGGTTTAATTTCACTCGCTGGCCTTCAATCCTGTTCTGTAGGAGTTGAGAAATAGTCTAGGTCTTGTGTTCCCTGTGGAGATGGATCTAGAGATGTGAGTCTTGTCCATGAGGCTTTCTGGACTTCATACCTCTGCCTTTCTCCCAATCCCCTTCATGGTTTAGGTTTCAGTGACTTTGTAAATTGTCTTTCTGATTTTTCTGCCTCATGCTCTGCAGATATAATGGCAGAAGTTAGTCAGGCTTTTCTAGTTAAGACTTTGCCCACACCTCTAGCTAGTTATGGGAGCGTTCCCTTTTGCAGCAAACTTAAATTCAGGCTGACAGAATTTCTCTCCTGAAGATGGGCAACTCTTCTTTCAGCTTATCTCCCTCACTCTTCTGAACAGCGTTCAATTGCAGTTAGAGCAGCAGAGTTGCCATTCTCCTGTCCTGTCTCCCCAGTCAGCATTCCCAGAGGAAAGACTGAGAAGATGGTCAGGCTGGCAAACAAGTTGCTGTCATGCTCTGTTTTGGTGATTTCTGCTCACCCCCTTTCCTTTGTCCCCCAGAGATCTCACCAGTAGAAAGGTACACCAGCTTCCTATGGCATGATTTGGGCCTGTAGGCAGGATCGTGGGGGGAATTTGGATGTCCTAGAGTGACTGCCCCTGCCCCCTATTTTGCTGAAGTTGCATCATCTAGGGCTGGAAGCACCAGTTGGATGTTCTGGGTGGTGTGTCAGGAAGCTCATCAGTAGCACTGAAGGAGCTCGAAGATCTGAGATCTTCCTGTTGGTTCTGAACATGACAAGTCACTCTTGGGCTCTTGACCTGTTTCTTAGGTATAACCGTAAGCCACCGCAGGTGCTTTTATGTCTGCACTGAGTGCTGTAGTAAGAATTCCCCTTGGAGAGCAACTAAGTCTGTCCTAAGATTTTGTCCTCCTTCAAAACCCTAAGATATTAAGTTGACCATAGCTGAGATTGATTCTCTACTAGCATGGTTAGAATTTGACTTTATAAATGTATATATGCGTACCCATCCACTTTGGGCTGGGTGGGTGTTGGGTTATTTAAAATAATGCCTAATAAAATGATTTGAAGGGATTTATTGAACAGGAGCTTGTGTTCCTTCCAATGAATGATGTTGCTTAAGGTTGGTACTTGGTGACAGGATTTTTGTTGGCAATGCTCGTAGTTAGCTTTTTCTCTCTCCTCGTTTTTGTCCAAAGTTCTAGCCCCATTATTGAAGCTTTGATCAAACATCAGAGTATTGCCATTCCTTTAAACACATGAGAGAATTTCACAGCTTAGTTGAAGGTAAAAAATATAGCTTTTCCTCCGTCTGCTGTTTCTAGTTCAAGAGGTGATGGATGTTGCTGTTAGTGGATTGTTGATTTTTTGTCTTACAATAGAGGAAATGAGATAGTATTGTCTTGCCCAGTTCGGAGGGAATCCTCCAAAAGGACGCTTTTGAAGAGAGCCACATTAATTTCTTTCCTGACATCAATACAAAGAACAAGTACTTATTTCTTGAAACCTCTGAAACTTTTACTGCAACAAATCTCTCCCCTTTCTCCTCAATTTTTGGACCCTGTTGAAGGACAGTGAGTATTGGTGATTTAAAGTCTGGTTTTACACTCCTATTTTATGAGAACTTAGAAGATCAACAAAATCTGCTGTTTCCTGCCTATAATCCCTTGCTGCTTTCTTCCTGCATGTTGAAATGGTTTGATGCTTTGGCAGCAAGGTACCCTTATTAGATGGACTTTATAAATATTGTTGGTGTTACCTGTGAGCAGAGGCAGTCAGTGTCTATGTCCAGTGTTGCATGCCAGCTGTCTGCAGGAGCATGTGGATGTGGCTCATAGGAAGCCTTGAAACTTCTCCAGTATTTTTTCTTTACTAAAAAAAGTGCTGATGCTCTGAACTGTGAACCAGGCACATTCTAGAAATAGAAATGAAGCCTGGGTTTCACTCTGGAACTAGAAGTAAGCTCTTTTCTGGTAACAAAGACTGGTTGGTATAAGATTATGTATATTTATGGGATATTAGCTTTCTTGAACTGGTGTCTCCCGGTCTAGTCCTGGTCAGTAGTCTAGGACTGGATGCAGCCCATCTTGGCTCTTGGGCATGTATTAACCTAAATAAAGTAGAATGGTATTGTTTTGGTGTCATGGAAGTCTTTACATCCAGAAGGAGAATTATTTCAAGCCTTAATCTGGAAAGTTGGCACTTTCAGAGGCTTTTTTTCCCTAAAGGAGGGCAGTTTAAATGCCTTAGGCATTTTCTTAAAATCAGCATGCAAGAAAGGAATTGATATGCATAAGGCAGTAGTGGTTAGTGGTGCATGTTAACTTGCAGGATCAAATGCTAAAGTTCACTGATCCTGTGATTCAGATTTTTTGTCCAATGTGTCACCAGATCATCAACTCTGCCTGATCTAAGCTGCATCCATTTTGTGTGCATTTGTCAGAAAAAGGAGGATGAGGCCAGGACCCTTTCCAGGCCTAGCACAATTCAGTAAAGGAAAGAGCCATGAATCCTGCTGCAAAATGGTGATGAGAGAAACAAATATTAGGAAAAAAAACCCCACCATGCTTTCCAAGACTTCGGCCAGATTTTTGCCTTCAATGGAAGGAAAGGAAGCTAGCTGTAGGAGCAGGCAGGCTCTGTGAACAACTGGCTGGAGTAAGAGAAATGAACTTACTGCTTCCATTTTACATTTACTAATTTTTGAAACGAAAAGCCTGCTGGAAGGCTTCCTTGTGGTTGAAGCGTTTGCTGTGTGCATTACATCCAGCATCGCTGTAATTGTGCATTCAACACTGATTCAGTCTTGGGAGGAACTAGTGAGATTTAGGTCTTCTCAAGGGTAGAGAGGTCTCTGCAAGTGTTCCTGTATAGAGCCTTTTCCTAAGTTGCGTACAGGGTCTTTTGGTGATGGCCCCATGAAGCCCTTTTACTCTTGGTGTGTCTAGAAGTATATATCCTGTGGACTGGAGTATTTTCTATTACTTTGTGTGGCTGTCAAGCTTATGGAATTGCAGACAGTCCAGTAGAGGTGTTTTCTGCTTACTTTACTGGGTCTGAGCTGTGGAGGCCAGGGCAGAGGGAAGATTAGGTAATGCAGAACGAACAGGGTCAGGAGACCCTCCATTGGTCTTGCACAATACTTCTGCTGCATAATTTTTTTTTTAATCCTGTTTATACAAGCCATCTTTACTTTGTTTTGCAGCTTCTTTTTTTCCCTATGAAAGCGGGACATGTATCTTGCCCCTACGAGAAACTGTTTCCTGATAGGTTTTTTTTTTCCCTAACTTGCATGATCTGCAGCTTTGAAGAGGATTCCAGTCTCGTGACCCACAGTACTTGGTCTCCTGAAGAAAGTCCAGTCTACTGTGCCGTCACCTTCACCAAAGAACATGGAGAAGTTGATATTGGAAAGGCCTGTTTCTGTGTCTAAGGTACTCATTGGTCTTTGGGGAATACTGTTTGCCTGTCTTTCTGTCACCAGAATTTGGGAAAACCCTGTTTTCAGAGGGATTTCTAGTTTTTTTTCTGGAATACTGTGGAGGTAGGTGCCATTGAAACCGGTGGCCTTTCTGGAAGAGTTCTCCTTCGTGACCACAAGTAGCAACGCAGAGTCTTTTGGCACCATTTTCTAATTAGTCACCAAGTAGTCTTACTCTGTTCCTCTCTGCTTGGAATGGGGAGGTTTTATTTCAGAGAGCTGTTTTTTGGTGTAAGAGGGGTGTCTCCCATGAGATTAGTCCTGTTTTCTTGATATTTATGGAGGCTAGTTACAGTAAGCACATGCTTCAGTGTGTTTAAGTTATCTTCATGTAGAGCACTGTATTGAGCTTTTGCACTGTGGTGGGTTGACCCTGGCTGGATGCCAGGTGCCCACCAAAGCCGCTCTATCACTCCCCCTCCTCAGCTGGACAGGGGAGGAAAAAATATAACAAAAGGCTCATGGGCCGAGATAAGGACAGGGAGAGATCACTCTACCATTACCATCGCGGGCAAAACAGACTTGACTTGGGGAAAATTAATTTAATTTATTACCAATCAAATCAGAGTAGG